AGGCTAAGCCAATGTGGATGAGCCCTCATGGAGACTCTCTTCCCAGGTGATTCCAGGCTGTATCAATTTGGCAATTAGAGCCAACCAGGAAAGGAATGGACATGACTAGAGAGGACATGGACCTCTTAGCAGGGAATGTGAGGGAATTCAACCAAAACTAAAAGGCCAGGAAAGGCAGACGTCAAAAACTCAAAAGTGCAACTGGAAGATGAGTGCGTAGGGAGACAGTGTTTAAAAAAACAAAAATAACAGAATGAAACAAAAGAAGAACAGATGCATGGGGGCAGTGATCAGCTGAGCCCTGGGTCTGGCAACCAGTGTTTGCAGGAAACATGTGGGCAACAAGGCTGACTTGGGAAGAAAATGGAGGCAAGGAAGTTTAGACAACAAGATATCAGATCAGTGTTCACAGTAAGTAGAGAAATCAGACAGAATCTAGAGGTGAGACAGGGTGAGAAGGGGCGTCTCTGCAAAGGGGAGGCAGGACAGTGTGGCTGCTGCTGAGAAAGATTCTCTACCGCAGAAAGAAGCAACGCTGCAAGAGGACTCATCCCAAAACAACCCTGTGTGTCAAAGCTCTTGGGATTTAGGACACCTGTCTGTGCCCCTGTGCTCCAGACACCTGGAGTTTGAACTCTGCTGGCACAGCCCAGATTGAGCATGGCCAGATGGCAACAACTCGATGTTTAAGCCTCTTGTGTGAGCTATGACCTGTTATACCATCATGACAGGATAAAATCTAAAAGAAGAAAGGAAAGGAGCTAGGCAGAATGAATTACTAGGATTCAACAGTGACACCTAGCGGTAATGATGTGAATGGCACTAGATAATAAGGTCCTTTTGACAGCACATTCCCCAGTACCTCTACCCCAAGGCTGACCTCCTCCGAATAAATACACTTCCTTAAAGGTTCTCAGAGCCATGGAGTGTGTGTGTGTGTGTGTCTTCATACAGACGATGACATTTTCCAATGGGGAGAGTGAGCCCTCAAAGTCACAATTTAGTTTGAGTCTAAACAACAATGCTTTGTTCACCTGTACAGTTTAATTGCCCTTCTGGTGTCTGGAAGGCTGAGGTCTCCCCTGAATTCCCGAACTTGGGCTGTCACAATTCTTTTGCTACGTAAAGTCAGACAAGGTTCAGAACGGACTGTGGCCAACGTCTCTCCTGGGTTCAAACAATAGGAGAAGACACGTGGGTTTTCCCAGAGATTCAGGTCATCTTTTCATTTCCAATTTCTCTTAAGACCCATAAAGAAAGCCATGGTCAATTTTAAAAGCATCTTTAGATTTTATTTTATTTTTCTCCCAGTCGCTTGTGCTCCAGAAGGTCTTGAGGTCCCAAGAGATGACTGGCTGCGGTACCTCAAAAGTTAATTGGCATTAGGGACACACTGCATTCCCAATCTTTATGTAAAAAAAAAAACTAAAAAGAATAAATTATGTAAATAGATAAAAAATATTCAAAATAATAAAAGCAGAAACTCGAGTAGCTGGGAAAAAAAAATGTTTCTGCCCTGAAGTAATAAGAAAAATATCAGAAAAGGTCATCACTCATATGGGACTATTATGGGATTAGGGGATAAATAAAATTTGTGGGTTGGACCTGCAGATCAGCTTCCCAGAAGGATTCTGAGGCAAATAAAACACGAGTCTGAGTGTGAGGGCGCGGGCGCGGACCTTCAAGATTCTTGCGAAACCGGGATTTTCATGTTAGTTTCATCTTCGTCAGTGTTGGATACAGAGAAAACGCTCTATTTTGTTGCAAAGTGTATTGTCTAGACTCCCCAGACTCTGCTCGATGGAGTTAATGGAAGCTATTTTGTGACTGAAAGAAGCAAATTACTGGCAGAAAACTGTTTTTGCCTATGGCTGTACAGGGTTCCTGCTGTCTTCAGGGTTCCCTCGGCTTGGTCCTTTCCCGAGGTCCACTGTGCTTCTACCCCAGGATTCACTTCCTTATTCCTCAGCTGCAAACACGATTCTCGGCCTCCCCACGATGGTTGATTGTAGGACCCGTCCTGGTTTTCTTTTTAATCACTTCCTGAATATGTTTTCCTGTTTACATCTGTATTTATGCCGTGATTTTCCCATATTTTGAAATAAAAAAAAATAATTTCTTGAAATTATAACAATAATTACTTTGAAAGTTACCTTTTTGAAATCATTGCTTTGAGCTTTAAAAAAACTGAGAGAGAGAGAGAAGGAGAGAACTAGAAGAGGGGGGCTGGCAGGGGAGGAAGGCAGAGGCAGGTAGGCCTTCGAGAGAAATGCTCCTGTTTGTCCTGTTGTAGATGAGCTGGTCCTCATGTTTGACCCATTCCCCTGTTTCCACCTCCTACTTCAAGTAGAAGCGCTAGGAATCTCCTTGTTCCTTATGGCGCCTGGCTTTTTCTTGAGTTCCTAACTCTGGTCTTCGGCCTTGGAAGGCAAGTTCCTCACTCATGGAGCTATTTCCCAGGCCCTGCTTCCATCTTTTTAAAGGCCTGAAGCGACTATTGATTTACACCGTCTTTGTTTTTATGCAGCTTTTAAGTGGCCTTGAATCTGAAGTTTGTGGAAGGAATGGAAAGTGAGCACTTGATAACCCATTTGCCAGGGGGACCTCAAGGCTCTTTCTGGAATATTTTATGCACCTTTGAAACAGGTAGTCCAAGGGACTGGAGGAATAGCTCGTGGTTAAGAGCACTGGCTACTCCTCTGAAGGACCTGGGTTCAATTCCCAGCACCCACATGGCAGCTCACAACTGTCTATAACCCCAGTTCCAAGGGATCTGACACCTTCATACCAATGCACATAAAATTTAAAATTTCGTCACATTCCAGTCCGACCTATCCAAGTTTGCCTTTGGGGCTAGCACCAGTTTTCACAATTCAGCACAAAGCAGAAATTGGAGACCGCTCCAATGGGTGACGGGGCATAGGCTGCCACGACCCACCCCTACTGCCAGGGTTGGAAACTTCAAATCCTTCATTTGAATAAAAGTTTAAAAAGAAAGCCAGTAATGCGATTTCTTGTAATTCTTGTGCTGCCTGTTACTAAAAATAGACAAGCAGAAAAAAAACCAAAATGGCTGTGACATTTCATTTTCATTGTTAGCTTGATTGGATTTGGAATCCATTAGGAGAATGAGGCACACCTCTTGTTAATGGGCATCTTGCAGTGAGCTGAGGGAGAAAGACTGGCCCCGTGCCTGCACCCTGCCCCCAGCAGTGGGTAGAGCAAGGACGAGAAGCATGTCAGTTCAGGGCAGTACCCCTGGCCTGCCCAGACACAAACTCTCCTGCTCTGCTGCCGTCTTTCCACCATCATAGACGCTGCCACCATGAACTGAAATGAATGCTCCCATCTGTGCCAGCACCTTCCTCTCCAACCTCCATGCTGAGGGCTGGGCTGGCCTTCCTGGGTTACTCTTCTCCCGTCGATTTTCTTGTCTACTAGTTCGGAAGCGAAAATCTGGCCGTGGCATTTTCTACCGAGAAAAGAATATTCGCCTATTTGAGGTGAGCAGTTGCTTTGATTTCTGTTTGGCTATGAATTTCAGGCAAGAGTGTGGCCTCTGGGGAATGAATGAAGAGGAAAAAAAGGAAGTTTCTCTGTCGGAGAGTTGAAGGTTTTTAAAGCAGATATTGGGGTGCTTTTGAGGGCTCTTGCTCTTATACTGGGAAGGAATGAGTGATGAGTTGTGTAGGCCTGAGCCTTCATTTTCTAATTTCTGGGGTCCTAAACCACCATTGAAGAGGAAGGAATGGTTAAGCAAGGATAGCATCTGAGGTCCTTCCAAAGCCAAGAGAGGTGATTTGAGGAAGTCATTCCAGGAGCTGCCATTTTAAAGGAAGCCCTGCACTCCCTCTGTTAAACCTTACGTGATAAATTTCTTTCCAATAGAATGTATGTAAGCACAGAGCATTTCCCATCAGGCCTTACCATAGTGTGGTTCACTGTCTTACAGACTTTAGATCAAGGAGTTTTGTGGGGTATTTACCAGAGAAGCCTGCTCAGACATGGGTTTAAGCCAGTGGAAAGTCTTTATTAGCCAGCCTGCAACTATGCTGAGTGTTTGGAATCCCAGTGAGGCCTGGGGCCTTTCTCAGGGTGAGAGTTTTAAGCACAAAAAAAAAAAAAAAAAAAAAAAAAAAAAAAAAAAAAAAAAATCCATTTTGACATACTCGGTTAACAAGAACAGTTGGCCAAAAAAGCAAGGTTAGTACTTTTAGCGACTTTCCCAGAACTGTGGACTTTGACGGATTAGATCTTCGCTTTTATTTCAGTAGGTGGTGCTGTCTGTGTGTTGGGTTTTATACCCTGGCTGGTACTTCCATCATGGAGTCAGCTGTGCTAAGGTCTGGGGCCGTTACAGGAAGAGCAACTCATGACTTGAGAGCACGAATGATCTTCCTACAAAACTTCCTTTAAAAGCTGGCAATAGAGGTTTCTCTCAATTCAGAAATTACTGATAAAAGGAAATCTTACTTTCTAAGGGTCAGTTATACAAATCATTTGTCTTTTTTTTTTTTTTTTTTTTGACAGGGTTTCTCTGTCCTGGACTCGCTTTGTAGGCCTCAAACTCAAAAAGATCTACCTAATGTCTGCCTCCTGAGTGCTGGGATTAAAAGTGTGAGCTACCATGAATGGCCTTTGTCATTATTTTCAATCATAATCTTAGTAGTGAGTGAACCTGTAGAAAATAAGTAGAATCAACGAAAACTGAAGCCTCCATGCTGCCCTGGCTTCTGTTCTGTGGCCTCTGCCAGAGCTGAAGAGGTTATATCTCTCCAGAGCAGAGCTTTGGTCTGCCCCTCCCCCACTGCCATCACTGTCACTGTTATTTACAAAATGAGACAAAGGAGACCAGAGCACCAAAAGTCAAGCCTAAAGGCGGGGGTGGCAAGGGTGTGTGTCTCCCATCCAGGCCCGAGACAGTGAACAAGTTGAAAGATCCCCGAAGGGTATCTTTTGTCTGAGAGACCCCCTCCCAAGGAACAACGAGGCCATTCGGATGCAAACAGCAAGAGGCTTTTATTTTGATACACGGGTACCCGGGGCAGCAGAGTCACTCGGAGGACTTTGCGCGCCCCACCTGGGTGGAAAGCTGGGGTTTTTATAGGGTTTTAGAGCAGAAGCGTGAGTACAGAAGCGAGAAGCATAGTTACAGGGGGCTGATTGGTACATTCAAATGAGACCACAATTTGAGTCAGAGTTTGGCAGGGACACCAAGATTTCAGGAACTGGGTGGTCAAAATGGTCATGATGACCCCTTGACGTGGCCCGTCACCTGTTGTTTTCCTTAGGACCCTTATCTTAACTGGAACAGTCTCACAGATATCCATGAGGGTGATTAACACAAACTGTTTTTAGTTTGACTGGGGCAGCCTGACCACAGATATCCCAAGTGGGTGACACAGCTGGGGGTTTCTTAGTAATTTTCCAGTTTCCCATCTAGCCTTCAGAGTTTTACAAAACAGTGGTGTCCCACAAAATGGCGTTAGCTATGTTTAACTTAGGGTGAGGCAGGGGTCTTTCAAAGTGACGGTTCCAAAGAGTAGGAACTATTGTGATCCATTTTATTGTTCTATTTGACACAGAAAATGTAAACTAAAACAGACCTTTGAGACAAGGATAGTAGATTCTTTTCCCCAACAGAAATCCTGAAAATTAGGCAGCAAGATAGGTTCAGAGGGAACTTCTTACAGGATCATTGTACCCTCCTGTGTTCTGAGAAGAAACTCCTGGGCGCCAGCAAAGCTCCTAAGAAAGACGCATCACCGGGAAGAGCTGCTGGAAGATTTCCGAGGGTGTTTGTGGAGGTGTGATCCTGGAAGAGATGAGCATTTGAGCTGGAAGAGTGTGCAGAGATCACCCTGGCCACTAAGGTGGGACCCATTCTGCTCACTGTGACAGTACATGGAACAGAAGAAGAGAGGAAGGGCAGATCTGCTCCGTTTGGTGGTGGGAAGTAGAACCAGGAGGTAGCGTGCTTGTCTGTCATGTGCCGAGGCCTTGGGCTTGATCCACAGCACTGCAAAACAAAGCAAAACAAACAAACAAGACACAGAGCTGCGGGAGCTTCCTATCCAGCTGTGCACTCCTATTCTTCTCACAGGTATGGCTTGTGGTCCTTGGAGCATTGGATTCAGAGGAAGGCTTTCATCGATGGCTCCCCTGGGGTAATGGATAATCATCACTGTCGGTGACTAGGTGAATAATACCTAGGGAATCAGTAAAGCACCCCTCTGGGTATGTGTGTGAGGGTTTTTCTAAAGATCACCAGGTCTCTGATCTCATTGATGGTTCACTCCACAGATGGACTAAAAGTTCAAATGGACTGTTGGGAGATGGTGGAGCTGTGGGGGCGAGGCCTCGGTGGAGGAAGAAGGTAACTGATACTGTGTCTTCAAAGGTAGTCTCTTGCCCTGGCCCCTGCCTGTTACCCCACCCTGCTTCCTAGCTGCTCAGAGCTGAATAGCTATGCTCCACCGTGGCTTTCAACGATGGTACAGAAGCCTCTCTGATAGATACATAGATAGATAGATACATAGATAGATAGATAGATAGATAGATAGATAGATAGATAGATACATAGATAGATAGATAGATAGATAGATAGATAGATAGATAGATCCTATTGTTCTGTTTCTCTGATTAACTTTTACTGATAAGACTACCAAAAGTCAAGGCCAGATATACATACCATTAGAATCTAAGACTAAGAGGTTAAAAATTGAGAAGACGAGGTATTTGAAGAAATAAAGGATGAAAACTTTGAAAATTTGCTGAAAAATGGAAGTATATAGATTTAAGATAGTCAGCCATTCTCAAGCAAAATAATTTTTCTAAGTTCCTAGACACTTTATACAACAACCACAAAAAAAGTCTTAAGGGCAACTACTAAAAAATAATACATTCTATACAGGGAAACCATCGTGGATTTCTCATCAGAGACCACAGAGTCTAAAAGACATTGGAGCGATAGTATACTTCAGAAAGGTGAAAGAAGCTGGGCGTGGTGGCACATGCCTGTAATCGCAGCATTCTGGAGGGGGGTCACTGTGAGTTCAAGGCCAGCCTAGTCTACAAAGCCAATCCAGGACAGTCTTGGACCAATCCAAGACTACACAGAGAAACCCTGTCTAGGAAAAAAAAAGGTGAAAGAAAAGGATTCAATCTAGGATTTTATATTAA